CCGCGGATATTATTGCCATCGGCAATAGCTTCTGAAAGTCGCTTGAGAACCAGGACTCCAAAACCCTCTCCTCGTGCATAGCCAGAAGCTCTCTCGTCGAAGGAGTAGCATACGCTGTCTTTGGACATCATGTTAAGACTGCTCAATAGGGCAGTCGAGTCTGGTAGTAGACACAAGTTGGTGCCGCATACAAGAGACTGTTACCGTCAGTATTCTGATGTTAGAAGTCAATCCATCCCATGTAGTAATAGGAGGCCGAACCCCCCATATTAGTCCGAACATCGCTACCAATTCCGAGGCGCTGCTGGTATATCTCCGGGCGTCTTTATTTGACGAAGTTATGAGATTAGACTCACCATATTAACGCTTCCAGCAAGTAACTCCTGGCACGCAAGATGAAGAGCAACAAGACCACCAGAGCAAGCTGTATCCACAGTCATACTAGGTCCACTGAAGTCGTAGAACCAACTCAACCGGTTTGATAACATAGCCAGACCACTTGAGCCAACAATACGATAGTCGCCAGGCATTTGAGCATCTCTCTGAGAAATTTGGCTGTACTCCTGTAATAAGCACCCCACGTGGACTGATGTTCGGGTGCCTACAGCATCCTGCATGGTAATACCAGCTAAGGGAAGATGGTATTAGTATATGTTTTGAATGATCCTGGGCTATCCGCATACCGTTTTCAAGAGCGTGATAACTCGTTTCGAGCAGCAAGCGCTGCTGTGGATCCATACATTCCGCCTCAGCCGGCTGAATAGAAAAGAACGGCGCATCGAAGCGTGCTGGATCGTCGGATAGAAAATGGCCACCGCGATTCTTCACAGTGCCAGGTCGGTGACCATTCTCTTTGTAGAATCCATCGATGTTCCATCGGTTCTTGGGAATCTCGGTCATGGTCGACCGGCGCTCGATGAGGAGTTTCCATAAGCTCTCTGCGTTTGTTACGTCTTGGGGGAATTTGAAGCCGAAGCCGACGACTGCAATTGGATCGAAGCTATTTGTATCGGGAGAGGTCGGCTGAGAGCCTGATTGTGTATTTGAGAGCTTCATCGTGAAATGCACTTTGCGCTGATGTAGTGTTTTGTGCGATCAGCTGCTTGGTAGGTTCTTGGTCCTATCAACGTCCCTAACGTTGCTCACATGTACTTTGGTAAGACAAAATTGAGGCTGGCGTAGTTAGTTTTGGAACTCTCAGAAACACATGTGTTCATGTGTAGAATCGTATCAGTTGGATGTTTGTTAAGGTATATGTCACAGGGGAGTGTTGCTGGAGCTAAAATGGAGCATATGCAGATGGAAGAGCAGATATTAAAGACCCTAGAATTAGAATATGCGGGGTGTATATAAAATGGTATCAATCAGGCGTTAACTCAAAATGGCTATATACTGCGTGCGCTGAGTGCTATTTGAGGCGACTGCGTTAAGCGGCGTTTTGCCTAGCTAGAAATGGCCCACTTGTTTTCCGAGACGGAAAGGCGGCATATGCATGCACGTATATGGAGCAGTCCGTGGTGACTGTTATGATCGTGGTAGTACAGGAGAAGTACCCGGATTCCACGACATCTGATACCTTCCTGTGATCAATGCATCATACAAGTATCCTGTCAGTACCTGAGTTTGGAAGGAAGTTCCCTTCATCCAGGTTATGGGAACGTAGAGAATATTTTCTGAAGCGTGTTGATCATCGGCTAGAGTGTGGTCATGCAGCTCCGCTGGACGCCTAATACGTTAAGCTCGACCCAAGCTGCATGCGCGCTCTTGCACTTTTACCGTTTTAATTGTGCGCATACCAAAGAACCGGATAATTACTCTCATAGAGCGTTTAGAAATTCATGTACGTCTCAATGGGTATAAGAGCAATGCCGCAGAGCTTGCGTTGGGTCGTGGAGTTGGGAGGGGTCCTATGAGCCGCAAAGTTACCCTCGTACCTCCATTGAATCAGGCATTGGTCAGGATTTTGAACCAGTAACGTTTGAAAACGATATTTACCGAACCAGATATTTGAAGTAATTGCAGGTGAGTAGCAGGTGAAGGATTTAACAAGTTTACAAAAACAAGGGTAAGGATAAGTGCAGATATGTGGGCCTTTGCGAGTTCAAGTCATAGAGAAGACGCGTCAGACACTCGAGTTACAGTCTAGGTCCTCGCGAGAACCACCAACTAGATGAAGGTCTTGTCTTTCCAAGATCCTTTTGGTCTCCAGTCTCGTTATAGTTCTCATGTAATTCGTTACACGACAGGCCGAATCATGCATCTAGTCCAGCGATTTATAATCCGTTGGGCTCCACAAGTTCGCTTCGACCTGATGTGAACTATTGACTCCACGCGGATGTCTGTTAACGTGCCCCGAACGCGACCTGCAGCAACCGAGTTTTACTTCCAGGAGTGTGCAAAGCGGGTGGATTCGCAAGGCCATCAGCCTTGGCTGTCAATCTGGCTATCACATGCTCGGGCAAGATTACCTAAATGCGTTACCTCTCGTATAGATGGATTGATGCTAAAATCAATGATTCAGTTCAGTGATATATTGCCGAGTACAAAAACTGGGGGTTTGATAATGTGAATACCAGGCTGATACGTATCTCACAAAGCCAGGTATATCGCATTTGAACTTTGCACAACCTGATCGCGATCATGAATGCTCAATCGGTGCACATTGGCAACCCCGCTTTGACATCTCCGGGTATTATTGAAAAGACCAATTGTTTCAATCTGGAGTCGCGGCAAATCGCAGGATCGATGGCAGGGCTTACCAAGGACATGTCGGTTTTGGCCCCCAAAACTAAACTATCGTATGCGACTTGACACGGGCGATTGGGCGCCTGACAAAGGCTAGACTTTTTGCTCTGATTTGGAGCCGTGTGTTCGTTACCATCATTATGGAGGTAATGGTGCGAAACGCTATGATTGCAACGGGTTACTTGACCTTTCAAAGAGCTTTTTGTGGTAAGGAAATGTTAGACAAAGGTATATCTGCTTGTCGTTTTGAGGTTGTGAGTTTTGTTGCATGATTTCCTTGACGGTGAAAAAAGGACCCAAAGTCAAGCTATAGACAGTATCCGGAACATGAAACGAATGCTGATTCGTAGATTCATGGACTCTTTGATGGTCTCGAGGTCTCAATCCCGAGAGTGCCGCACACATACCACCCAAGCCAAGAATCCCTTGTCTTGCTCTCGATAATATTAAGAGCAGCATGTGCAAATCCAGAAGATACAACTCTTCCAGATCAGTCACGACTGTGTTTCGCCTTGATGTTGGTTTTTTTAACCTGCGCATGATTCAATCATGGAAATCGTAATACGTGGTGCATGTCATCGTGGAAGTATAGATAATAGTGAAGCGGCCATCCAGTCGTGCTCGGGATCTCGCTCTATTTGCGAATATGGACAGGCAATAGTTCATCAAAAGATCCATCCACTCGGTTTGAAAGAGTAAAGAAAATTGTGCAGGATTGATGATCCTTAAAGAGAGGGATGGGCGGCTCATAATATGGATAATGAAATCTAAAAAAAGATATGATGGGCCACAGAGTGCGGCAGTCAGCTAAGCCACCACGTGTCGTTTCAGCCGTCAGCACGTCAAAGGAACCGTCTCCCGGGTATCGGAATATAGATGCAGACATGCTCTTCCGTGATGGCGTTTTTTGTGGGTTAATGCAGGGACAACATGACGATACGAGGGAGTGAATAAGGACAGGACTGCGTAGTGGCGGAGCAGGGCCCGAGGCAGAATGGTATCGGACGACGCGGGGCAATGGCGGGGCAGTTTTTGGCAGCTAGTGACCCGACGGCCACCTCCGACGGCTAGCCATGGCTCAAACGGTACGATAGAAGTCTGCCAATCTGCCTGCTTCGACAAGACTCATAGCACCACAAATTGTTTCCAGGGCTTCCTACCACATTAACATGGCCGCCCAAACTGCACAGGGTCTCACACCAGAGCAGCTCGGTTTCTTCAACGAGAATGGATATCTCTTGATACCAGACGTGCTGTCACAAGACACGGTCAAAGAGCTCCTCAATGATACCAGCAAAATGCTCAATGACTTCTCGCTGGATGACCATCCCATGACCAAGTTCTCGACTGGTGGCGAAGACGGCGCGGACCATGTAGGGGACAGCTACTTCTTGGAATCTGGAGACAAAGTACGCTTCTTCTTTGAAGAAGGTGAGTTCTGCTTCCTGCATTCAATTGACGTCGCATCTATGAAAGACCAACTGGGCTGATATCATGGCAGACGCTTTTGACAAATCCGGCAATCTGACAAAGCCCAAGCATCGTGCAATCAACAAGATTGGCCATTATCTGCACGAGCTTTCCCCTTCATTTCGCAGTATCTCTCTCTCAGATCGCAATGCCGCTATTGCCTCTTCATTGGGGTTCCGTGATCCACGGGTTCTCCAATCTATGGTTATTTGCAAGCAGCCCGAGATAGGCGGTGCTGTGCCACCTCATCAGGACAGCACATTCTTGTATACTGATCCACCTAGCGCCGTGGGTTGGTGGTATGCCCTCGAGGATGCCACAAAAGAAAACGGCTGTTTGAGTTTTGCTGCTGGGAGCCACAAGCGAGCTCCTATTGAAAAGAGGTTTGTGAGGACGGGCAACGGAACTGGCTTTATCGACAATGACGGGGCCAAGTTCCCGAACAGCATAACACCCGAGAGTCAGGGCGAGAAGGGGTATGAGATGGTAGAGAAGGAGGAAAAGTATGACATGGGCGAAGTCAAGGCTGGAACGCTAGTTCTCATCCATGGTAACATTCTCCACAAGAGTGAGAAGAACACGAGCGAAAAGAGCAGGAACATATATACATTCCATGTCATTGAGGGCGACCAGAATTATGACGAGAGGAACTGGCTGCAACCACCTGCACAGGGTTTCTCGAAATTATATCAGGAGAAGACTGCAGCGGCGAATGGAACGAATGGGTCGGGTTCGAGCAACAGACTTGCGAAGGATTGGTAGACATGTTACAATATATTTATCTACTATGACTTGCTTTGTACACACAAGCCGATACCTCCGAGCACGAATGCCATGCCTATCCAAGTGTCTATGGCATGTTAGCTTCTGAGTCGCACGACTGTTACGCAAGCCGATTCAAAACGTACCTCTACTAATGACCTTTTTCTCTGCCCACCATTCACCTAGCACAGTGAACAGAAAGGCGAGTGAGTTGGTGATGGGCACCGTCAGACTCAATTCCGCCTTGCCTATCAATATGAAGAACCACACGCTTCCAGTGACATTGAGCAACAATGGTATTGCATATGCCGGTCGACTCAGCACTCCAATCACAGCATAAAGTACACCCAACACTTTCTTCTTGAGCCATGAATTGTTCGGATCGGTAAGGGCAGGGCGTTGGGGCGGCGTATAGTTCCTATGATAAGGTCAGCAAGGTCCGATAGGCCACTGGTCCGTAAAGTAAAACATAAAATCTCACGGAAGGAAACCAACGTACATTGCAGCTTTACGCATAAAAGGTGTCGTAAGTCCCCAGCATGCGCCAACCATAAGGAAGCCCAGAATCCAGCGAAAGATGGAAGGTTGAGGCTCGTTGGCGATGGGCGCGTCGGGGTCCATGATGCTGCAGCAAATTCGATCAGAGAATCACTACAGTGGAGGCCAATAACCAACGACACGAATAGCGCAATTGTCGACGCTATTGTGATTCGATACGTCGAGCTGTTGACATGGGATGAAAGCAACGAACTGGTGCTTGGCTGGCGCGCTAACTTGGGCCGTGCGCAGGTACACACAACATCACATTACCATCCCTTCGCCATCATTTCGTCCCGACAACAATTAACCGTCATTACTCGGCATTCATCCACAAACAATGGAAGACCTATTATCAACTATCTGAGTTTACAGCCTTCTGCGGATTGAATTTCTTCGACCCGTGCCGACGCTGTCTCCAGGACGAAAAAGAACCGCATTCCACAACTCAGCCGCGCTTTGCACTTTTCGACCACTGATTGACTTTGCAATGATTACCACCGCTCTGGTACCCACCGCTCTGGTACCTGACCTGCTCACAAATGTAATTTATTGTGTTGTGCCCGACATCCGCCGACGAAAGTTCTTGGCTAGAACTCAATGATGGCGCAGCAGGACCCTGCAAAGGCAAGCAGTTTCTTTGATCCACCCTCCCGGGATCCGCCCTAGTCAAGCCATGCCCCAGGTTGCCAGCCTATTCCTGGTATCCATCCACGCAGGCAGTTCACCCGCCTAGTACTATTCAGAAATATTGCTATTGTTGGGAACTATTCCCGTACAGCAATACTGTATCCATCGCCATGCACCGGAATGACACGACCATCTTCCGTATCAACCGTACTCCTGCAATGGGCAATATCGTGGATGACTTCATTACTAGGCCTCATTGACGGCCTCACATGGTCCAAATTGCCATACTTTGAAAGAGTTACTGCATTTTTCATTTGACCTCACACGCAGGTTGGATATCCTTCGATACAAAGAAGTCTCTGGTCGACAAAGAAGGAAACTACAAGCTAATTGTTACATGACAGGTACCCGCGGGCTAGAAAACCTAGACTAGATGAGTGACTCAGCATCATATATATGGCTACATACACTATGTGCCTACCATTGCTATGGAGTATCCAGCCATCCTGGTCACCTCCGAGTATGCCACTGTTGACACGCGGGCAGTGCAGGCGCCTCCAGACTACCTGAAACCAAAGGGTTGAGGCTTAGTTCATCGTCTATCCAACCCACCCTAATTCAACCCAATATGTTCTAGTGTGCTAAGTATAGACGGGATGTGCATTGCATGAGAGTTGGCCGTTGGAAGCCACTGACACATTTGGACATGTGAGATCATATATCTCTCGTGGGGTTTGTTCGAAATTTTTGATTCTTTGCATTATTAGCGCGTCACAGATCTTGTTCCTGCAGGCCTACGACTACTCCCGCCTTCGTTGATAAGATACAAGTATCACGTCGCGATTGTCTATTTACACTCCGCATTTTCACCCACTTCGTTCCACGACATACCCCGCTTAGCCTCGGATACATCGACTGCATCTGTTACTTCTTGGAAAATCTTTCCCTGTATTCAGTACCATATTGCCTTTTTGACAGCATCATGTCAATGCAGTCGGTTTGCAACAGCGAGCCAGAGGGTGTGGACTTGGACAATTTGTTCGAGGACTATGTCGATACGGGTCTCCTACGCCCCTCCAACAACTCATCATCTGCTCAGTCCAGCCCGGACGAGTTGGCGTGTCTCCTAGGGATCGCTTCGTCGAATGAGAGTGACTTGTTCGGGGCTGAATCTATACTCAATCGGGAAACAAAGGCTGCTTGGCACAAGGCTCTCCAAGAGTGTGACCAGAGCTTTGCCTCCCCATGGTCTGATTATTCTGCCTCTCCCTCATACATTGCTTCTCCTTCTGCCACAGATTATTACAGCGACTCCGAGTCGTTGAGCTTTCCAGGGGTCATCGGGTCAGTCAGAGAACAGTTGCGGTCCATGTCCCAGCCTTGCACACCGCGACCTCACACATCCCGTCGGTCCCTCGAGAAGGCTGTAGCCTTTCAGAACCAAATGAAATACCGTGATACCAGGAATTTATCAAAGACGTCAACAAGGCCTTCTTCTAGAACGATGCAGGCCTCTTGTCCCCGTCCTTATACCCCGGATCTATGGAACAACCAGACGGCCCCAATACACATCGTTTCGAGAACTGCATCTGAAGAACCCGCCTCGCTCGTTACGCTGTCTGAGTTTGCCGAGGATGAAAACAAAGACTGCCTTCTTGCCCAAGAATACGGTCAGGTGCACACTCTTGGTCATTCGCTGCTTCCGACGAATGACGAACAGTATTTCTCGCACTACCAATCGACCACTTCAGCCTCTCTAGTAATGGAAGGACCGAACCGAAATCACCACAATGAAAATATGGACCTTAGTTTTAGCCCAGGCAATACGTCTAGTTCAGCAATCTCAGCCTTGTTGACGCCACCGATATCCCTTCCATTAACTAGCAAGCCATGGATTCCTGACACAACACCCACCCTAGACTTTGACTTTTCAGCGCCACCCGATCTGGTAGACACCGGCAACACAGCTAGTTGGTGGGCCGGCGAATCTACTGGCACTGGCTACTCCACAGCAAACACCCTACACTTCACCAGCTCAAACACGGAACTCCACGGCCTAGGCATAACCTGCGAACCCACCCCCTTCAACTACACCGTCCATCCCGCCCACACCCTCCCTTCCTCTTTCCTCCCACTCACCCACCGCACCCCCTCCCCACCACCACGCAAACCCCACCCCCGCCCACGCACCCGCCCCAACACCTCGCGCCCCCGCCGCTCCAGAACCTCTTCCCCAAACTCTATCTCCCGCACCACCGCAGCAAACACGGGCTTCGTCAACTTCACACCCGAAGACAGCAGGAAAATCCTAACTGGCGTGGCGCCGAGCGGAAGCAGCAAGACGAAAGCGCGGCGTGAGAGGGAGGCTGCGGAGCGAAGGCGGAAGTTGAGTCAGGCGGCTATGAAGGCGGTGTTGGAGGCGGGTGGGGATGTCGAGAGGATTAGGGGGTTGGAGGGGGAGATGTTGGTTGTGTAGTTTAGATTTATGGGGGGAGGTTAAACGAAGTTATGAAGTACAATGACACACAAATTTGAATTCCTTTTACTTGTTCTCTATAGCAATCTGTGAGGTGCACGCGCGGGATTAGCATGGCCCGTCTTAGATCTGATACAGGATATTCTCCGATTGAAAAAGATACAGAACCCCGTCGCATCGACATTTAATCACCACATCTCTTTAGCAAAAAAATCATTTTTTTAGACTACTTACTCCCCACCCCCAAGCTCCAGCCTCGCCAGTACAGCCTCCACCAGCGCCGTACCGCCTGGCCCCCGCTCCACAGTCCCCAACGTCTTTTCCTCGGCCTCAAGCTCCACCGCTCCCTCGTAGACCTTGACAATCATGTCTTCGTCGACCTTGGTACCGCACGCGACCATACCGCGGATCAGGGTGCTCACCATCATGATTTCACGGGTAAGACCGGGTTCGATATCATCGTTTTGGCTCGAGTACAGCGTCTCGATTGCGGACTCGTCGAGACTGTTGATGCCGACTTCCTTTGCATCTGCGCTAGTGGTGATGTGCTTGCAAACGAAGACGTAGCCGTTGACACCAAGGATGATGTCGATTTCACCCGCAGCCGTGTTCAGCGTGAAAACCTGGCGTCGGCTGCGTACTACGCCGCCTTTCCGGCTGAGAATACCGCCGCCTGCACCGGTGATGCTAGTGAAGACGCCGTTGCGCAGTTTGCCGTATTTGAGAGAGCGGGTGTGGAGTGAGGCGGTGCCGTCTTGGTGTAAGCTCTGGACTTCTGCGACGAGCAAATCGCCTTCTTGGAAGAATGTCCGGATGTTGAGCTCGTCGACGGTTGTTCGGCGGCGGAGCACGCCACCTGGCAGGTTGATACTGGAGAGAGGGAGGTTGGCTAGCATGGGCGCGGCGATATCTACGTTCCATTTTTTGGTTCCAACGGTCATTATGCGGCCGACGACCAGGTCGCCAATCTCGGGTTGGTAGCGGGCGCGTAGTGGTTGCACAGATAGCAGCTTGTTAGTTTTGTGCAAGGTTCCTGCGACGGTGGATATTATTGTTGTTGATCCGGCTGGCTGTGAAGGAATATATGTGCCATGACCACGCATCCATTGCGGGTCGGAGGTTATATGTTCACCAGGCGTGACGATGGCTTTGGAAGACGAGATCGCGAGATCGTCGTCACCCATTTCAATGTCGGAGCCAGACTCATCATTTTCATCGCGCCGTGGAGGCGGCAGTGCGCTGAATGGTAAGACAGAGATTGGCATTTGGACAGTGCGCAATGTGAGTATGGTGGTGGTGGTGATGATGTCGTTTGGTTTTAAAGCTTTGGAAATTTTGGCAGGGATTAGTAGCTCCATGGGGACCCTTGCAGTGGAGCTGCTGCACCACCATTTGCCCCATCAAAATTTCCACCCATTACTTTGAAAACGTGATAAGTCCAGCACTGTAGTGACAATCGATTTGCAAGATGCAGAATATCAATTTTCAAGCCGTACAGCTGCAAAAAGACCTAGTTTTCACATCAAAACAGGAAAGGACATACATGGAATTGTTTTCAAGGTAGTATAGTTTGTTTTCCCATATTGTTATCCTAAATTATTTTCTGTGGAGTATGTAATTATCCACATACCAGATACAAATGGTATGATATCGCAGTTCTCGCATTTTCCTCAATACACGTAACCGTAGCTTGAAAACTCCACTCGCGATGCCAACATCCCCCACCACACCCATCACCAACCCACAACAAAACTCCACCCTCTATTTTTTCACCTTGACAGCCCCCTTCCCAGCCTTGGCATCCTTGACCTTCTTCTTCTCCACCTCTGTCTGCGGCTCCTCCATACTCTTGGTGCTAAGCTTGGGCAGAAACATGCTTACACGCTCCTGATAAACCTTGTATTCTGGATACTTGCCCGCACTCAGCAACTCAGTAAGCCAGGTGCTGCCCTGGAACAAGGCCAAGTACAAGGCCGCACCGATAGCAGCCCAATTGTAATACGTCTCCGTCTCTAGGCAGCACCATTGGTACAAGAAGACCCAAAAGGCTTGTTCGGCGGCAAAGTTGGGATGGCGGGACCATGCGAAAAGGCCGGTGGTGTTGAAACCGCGATCGAGCTGTTCGCGCGTGTACTTCTTGTTAGCCGGGACTTTGGCTGTGTTGCGGTATTCGTCCCTAGCGGCGTAGTAATTCCATTGCGCCTGATCGGCGAAGAATTCCAGGACAACAAGGGCGACCATGGATCGACCAAAGAGTGAGTCGTACGAGGAGACAGTATTGCCAGTGATCCTGTTTGCAAGGAGCAAAATGTACGTTGGTGTTGTGATGACCCAGAGGAGAAACTGTTTGCGGTCAGTAAGGCCTTGGATTGCGTGTCAATTGGACACATATGCGCGCCTACATTCTGATAAAACGAGATGAAAACGACGTTCATGACAAACATGGCTGGACCGCCAATGTAGTCTTTTACAATGTTCCACCTGTAATCCTCACTTCCAATCGTGTATCCGCCCTTGCGCCAGTAGTTGAAGGTCAAGCGAGCGCTCCAGATGATGGAGACAGCCATGACATGGTCTAGCTTTGTCGCTGGCAGGCCATTCAAATGTGCCCATGTTGCATAATGTATGTTGTACAGAGCAGGCAGTAAGCTCCAGATTCGGTCGACCTGCGAGTAGTTGCGGTTGATTTCGGAAAGGACAAGGACAACAGGCGAGAGGAACATGACGGCAAAGGCGAATGACGATATGAGGGGGTTGGTGCTGAGATAGAGCTCCTTGAGCGCCTGGACGTCCGAGATGCGTGCTACGACTTGGTACGGCAGGTCATAGAGTTGTGGTAGGTACGGCTCGACCGTCTTGTGGAAATCGGCACACTCGGGAAGTGTGCTGACCACTGGAATCGCCATGTCGAGGTAGGTGCGCGGATCAGGCATTGTGCCAGGTAGCTTCAATGTCTCGCTCGTAATATGCAGACAGGGGATGTGTATATGTATATAGACATGCAGGTATGCAGTAAGTATGAAATCTGGAGGCGGGGATGACCTCATGAGTCGCTGCTGTCCACAAGCAAAAATGGCTTAGCGCCCTGCAAGAGCGCCCGTGCAGCTTTGCGACGCGCTCTGCATCGGCCTGACGCGCTTTCACATGACCGTGAATATCTTTGCCTTGTCCATATTGCCCCTCTTAGATGGAAGTATACAAAACTCAAAGGCACAATGCGGGTGTTGTGCGTAGCAGAGAAGCCATCCATCGCAAAGGCAGTCGCAGGCCATCTCGGTGGGCAAGCCCGAGCTGTGAGTTGTGCACCTATCATCAGGCTTCTTGAGGCGGACTGCTGAGATTACCTACCAGGAAAGTGTTCGGGGCATCCAATGGGTCAAGAACTACAAGTTTGATTTTCGCTTCAACAACTGGGGCCAGTGTTCTGTCACCTTTACCTGTGTCGCTGGGCACATTGTCGCCCAGGATTTCAACGACAGATATAAAAAATGGCACTCATGCCAGCCCGTCTCTCTATTCGAAGCACCGATTGTGTCTGGAATAGCAGAGGTGCGTGGCAGGACCGTCGTTTCACTAGTCTCCACTGACCAGTAACCAGGACAAGAAAGTGGTGGCGAGCAACATCGAGACCCAGGCGAGGTACGCGTCAATTTTGTTCATATGGACCGATTGTGACCGCGAGGGCGAGCACATTGGGACCGAGATCCGCGACATTGCACTCAAGGCGAATCCAAACTTGCAAGTGTGGCGAGCACGTTTCAGCAATATCGAGCGAGCGTCTGTATTACCATTTCTTCCCGGACACAAGCAGTTGACTAATTTGTTTTAGACATGTCATTCAAGCGTCACAGAATCCAATCCATCTGGATGAGGCACAGGCGCAGGCCGTCTCGGCGCGGATTGAGCTGGATCTGCGACTGGGAGCCGCATTTACGCGAATGCAGACGCTAGCGCTCCAGAACATGATCCCTCAGCAAGGCGAAGAGCGAGGCAAGGTAATCAGCTACGGCTCTTGCCAGTTTCCAACTCTGGGATTCGTGGTAGACCGCTACCTTCGAGTGCGCAACTTTGTTCCAGAACCATTCTGGTCCATCAAGGTGGCACACGAAAAGGATGGCATTGATGTCAAGTTCAACTGGCGGCGGGGCCACTTGTTTGACCGCATGGCCGTCATTCTCATCTTGGAACGTTGTCTGCTTTCCAAGACTGCAGCTGTGACAAAGATGGCAAAGAAACCTACCAAGAAATGGAAGCCGCTGCCTCTGACGACTGTTGAGCTACAGAAGAATGGAAGTAGATTTCTTCGCATGACGTCGCAGGATGTTATGAAGGTGGCTGAGGACTTGTATACCAAAGGCTGGATCAGCTACCCGCGCACGGAAACGGACCAGTTTGATCGCGGCATGGACCTGAAAACGCTTGTGGGACGGCAGACTCAAGATGGTCGCTGGGGGCCATTTGCACAGAATCTCATGAATGGCGGTTTTCAGCAGCCTCGCGCGGGGCGCAACAACGACAAGGCCCATCCTCCCATCCATCCAGTCAACTATGTGGCACCTACGCAGCTCAACGACCGGGAGCGTGCAGTGTATGAATTTGTGGTTCGGCGATTCCTGGCTTGCTGCTCCGAGGACGCTGTTGGTGAGGCTACAGATATTGAAATCGAGTACGGAGGGGAAGTGTTCCACGCGCACGGGCTCCGGGTCATTGCAAGAAACTACCTAGACGTGTATCCATATGACAAATGGGAGAGCAGTCAGGTGCTGCCACAGTATGCAGTAGGAGAGAGGCTTGAGCCGACCGAGGTGAACATGGTTGATGGTCAGACGACGGCGCCAAGCTACCTTACGGAGCCCGAGTTGATCGCACTGATGGACGCCAACGGAATTGGTACGGATGCAACCATGGCCGAGCACATTGCCAAAATCAAGGAACGCGAATATGTGATTGCGCGGCCCAAGGGCGGTGGGGGCGCTGGTACTAGTGATGGAAATGGTGCAGCAGCAAGCAGAGGGCGAGGGCGAGGAAGAGGTTCGCGTGGAGGGCGTGGAGGGCGAGGCGGCGCAGCAGCAGCAACAGGACAAGCCGGGGGAGGGAACACGGGCGGAGTTCAAGAGTTTATCCCGACGACGCTGGGGGTTGCGCTCATCGAGGGGTACGACAATGTGGGGTTTGAGACGAGCCTGAGCAAACCGTTTCTCCGTAAGCAAGTAAGTAATGGGGTTGCTGATGCACGTGGGGTGGTGAATGGCAGAGGCCCAAGAGGCTCGCTAACAAAAGTTCGGCAGATGGAGGAGCAGATGAAGGCGATATGCGAAGGTCGCAGTACGCGCAACGACGTTGTTCAACAAAACCTGGAGCAATATCGGGCAGTATTCAATCGCACGGTGCAGCAGATCAACGTGCTGAAATCGGTACGCATGCAATTTTCTTTGTTACTATTGTCGGGAGCCAAGATTGGCATGTGTAGTGGGATCGCTAACGTAATGCGTGTCGCTAGGCCATCACCAAGTATGTGGTCAACGCGAATCACGGGTGAGGGCTTGTCCACGCGGGGCAGGGTGTCGCAGTGCTCACGTCACGCCTCGGGTGATGGGGCATGTTGGTCCATTGCGGGATGGATGTCTTGCAGAGGGAGCCTGTCGGACAAACACGTGTGTCGAGGCTGTTGATGGTGCGGAGTTTTGTCCCCTCAACCTGCACACAGCGAAGTCGGACCTTTTTTGGCGGCGGCGTGACGACCCCCGCGGCACGATAACGCCAATGGGGGGTTGTGGGCGCGAGGCATGGAAGGACGGATGGCGCAGCGTGAGGAGCCGATATGGAGGGTTGCTGATATGGGCCTTGTAATCGGCTGCGAACGGGTCACGACAAAGCCAACATCGGAGCATGGCCACGGCAAGTTGGGGGGAGTCGAGTGACGGTGCAGGGGGCGTGGGATTGCCGGTACGTACTGAAGTTAGTAGTATGTATGTAGGGTATGGAAGTATAAGTCGGTGCTAAGGCGTGTTGCGTAGTGTTGCCCTGCTTCTGCGCACCGAGTCCCTGCTGCCGGCGAGGGGCGAATTCCCATGATTTCCATGACGGCTGCTCAAGGTAAAGGCGTGGTGCGAAGCAGCCAGTCGCTTCCGGCCCAATCAGCAGGCAGACAGGGGGGAAGGGGCGCCGGCCGTCGCTTCCCGCCTGGGGGGGTTGTCAGATGCACCTGTGTTCCTTGGTTGCAGCGGCCCTGGGGGAAGGCCAGCGAGAGCGAGGGCCTTATCATGGCGTAGTCCCTGCCTGCCTGCCATGTCGAAGACTCATGACACATCGCACACTCGAATATTCAACCCTTCTGCTGCTCTGCTGCTCTGCTACTTACTCTCCATCCAAGACGCTTGCTCTCTCGCCCTCGTCCCCTGCACGCTCCGGATCCCGCGCTGCTGCTGCCCGAACACGCTATCGGCTTCGTCCCGACACCGACTCGCTGATCCCCATCGCCGATCGCTAAGACGTCTCGGAACGGCCATAGTGATAGAGTCGAGCTCCACAACTGCATCCGGCTACAACAACACACCGCCAGCACCCTTTTTTGTCCCTTTGTCGCTTAGTCGTGTGTCGCGTAAGGCAGTTCTATCACCGTCTTAAATTTCGTGGTTCAAAATTCACCTCCTGTCCAACACCAAACTTGCCCTCGATACTAAGAGAGCCCATATCCGAGACTCCCAGGTATGTCTATTACCAACCACTCCATACGAGCATACATACCCGCCTGCACAGCGCTGCAGGTCCCACAAGTTTCCCTGCTAACGCTCTCTGGCCCTCTAGTCCCCAGGATCCTGCTTCCAGTGCGACTTCCTGAGCAACCCGCGCTTTGACTCACTCAGTCAGCCCCTGCCTCGCAACTACAACCATGGCTGCCGCTGCTCCCAAGCCCGTGTCCAACATTGCCATGGCCTTTGGGCGAAAGGACAGTGGACATGCTACCTCTACCGGCACTCTGCCTACGCCCCCTAGCTCCATTTCTCCCACGCTGCCTGCACACAAGCGACGCCCCATGCCTGTGGCTGGGCGCGTCCATACACCAGATGATGAATCTATGGAAATAGACCTTCAGGACGCGGTGGAGCACGCGGCGGCCCAGGACCAGCCCTCTGCTCTTTCCAAGGAGGCGCTGGCCGGCCTCGACGCGACGCGCCAAATCACTGCGCTGATGCTGGCCAAGCACCACCTGCCAGACATCCTCGTCGGCCACGGCGCAATGCCCATCCGCGAGATGATGGCCCATTTGACTCATGTTGTGCCTGGCTTCTCGGGACTCCCCCCAGCAAAGGCTCGCAGACTAGTCGTAGCCGCGCTGGAACACCGCGCGGGCGGCGGCCTTCACGGCGAGGTCAAGTTTGAAAAGGTCGGCTGGGGGCGCTGGAGTGTGGCAGGCTCTGGCGCAAAGGCTCAGGGAGTACCCATCGGTGGCAAGCGCTCTGGAAATGGGCAGACGCCGCCGGACAGCGTCGATAGTACAGGAGGTAGTCTGCAAATACCGAGGCTGCGACAGGAACGTGACGTTTACGCCGGTAGCTGGAATGCGGGCTCGTGGTCACCCCACCGTCAGGATGACGACGAAGAAATGGCGGACCAGATGTCGCTGGACGACTCTGACGACAGTTCCGACTCTGATTCGGCCTCGGACATGGAGCTGGAAGAAGAGTTGAATGACGACACGGATCAGGAAGACTGGGCGACCATGGGGCCTGAAGCTCTTCGCGAGACCCGCTGCGGTCCGCGCCGAGAACACCGTGACTACAACTATCTAAGCCGAACTCAGACGAGCAACCCGCGCTACCGGAATTCATCCGCCCAGGCCCACTCTCTGCCTCAGCACTCGCTCGCGCGCACTCAGACGCCCACCACTCTGCATCACCAATCTTTTCTTGCTCCTCACCATGCATCCCGCGGTAATCACGCCGTGAACGCGGGCTCTTCCCTCACGACTGTTTTCAATGCATCCTCTATGACTAGTCCTCTTACCGGTTCCGGCGCTGAGCGTGACGCCATCGAAGCCCTCATCGCAATGGGTTCCATGTAGAATTCCTTCCGCTCACCCACATATCCCTCATCGACTCATGACGCCTTTACGAGACTTACATTCAACATTCAACATTTTTTTTTATCAAAGCTGCACGCAGGCGCAGACCAGCACATATATATCCTCATCAACATCATCAGCACCACTTGCTATATATACATACATAAAGATCAGATACGAAATGGAGATGGCTTTTTTTGGGAACGAAAGGGGAGGAGTGAGGAGTAGTAGGAGAAAGGGAAGCTATTACTGGGCTTTAGATTACCTTGGCATATAACTCGAACTTAGTTCTCGCCTTTGCATTTGGGTTCCGGGGAACAATGCAACGGGGAACGATCCGTCAAGTGCTGATGTGGATCATGTGGACAAGAACCTACTTATTTTTTTTTAGGTTCATATTCTGGTTGTTTCTTGTTTCCTCAGTGGGGGATTGGTGCGGGCTACTTTTTGTGGGAACAAATTCGGTACCAAACGCATTGACTTTTTTGGGGACGTTTTTGTTTACTTTGTATATACCGGGGCGAGGCCTGGCCTGAGCCCTTACTTACTCTACTCCTTTTTTATTACTATCACACGCAGAAACCTTTTAGATGAGATATAATGACGCTGGTCAACGACGGATGGATGGATGGATGGGGTGGCTTTTTTTTGGGATATTAATTTGATGAATATATAATACGTAATCTGATGACTCTGCCTGCTTCTTCTATCATCTACAATCTATCGCTCATGCTCGCATACAAAGACAAGGAGACGTTTACTCCGCCCCACTATCAAACAGCACTTTCGCCCTTCCCATCGTCCCGGCCTCGACAGCCCCCAAGATACCCGTAACAACTTCTTTACCGAAAAACGCAACACCAAGTTCTTGACTTGTAAACCAACTCGCACGGTCCAGATTACCACTGCCTAGTACCACAACCTCATCATCCACACTCACCATTTTAAAATGCGACTGCTGCGCCTCACCCCCTTCCTCGCCGCGGGGTTTTAAACCGCCGAGCGGCGTCCAATACGACACAACCAGGCGTCCAGGGTGCGGACTCGCAATGGCGGACTCCTCATCGATCAAGGCCTGGCGCTCAGACGATAGCGTGCGGTAGCGGCGTATGAGTCTGCGCACACAGCGCGCCGTGGTGGTACCCGCTGTGACGAGTTGCTCGAGGATCATGAGGCGCTTGGATGTTAGGATTCTAACGTCGATACCGCGGGCGAGGGCGCGGAGAAGGGCGGAGAGGACGGGTGGGGAGGTGAGGTTTGGGGTTTGAATCGAGATTTTGCGCTCGGCTTTTGAGAAGAGGGTGAGGAGGAAGAGGTTCAGCGGGGTTTGCGGGGCTTGGAGGATCTTTGAGGAGGTGAAGGGGGAGAAGGTTGGGTTGCGGTGGTGGGGGCTTGGGAGGAAGATTGTGGGGGTTTCGGGGGTGGAGAGCGTGATGTGGGATTTTAGAGATGGGGTTTGTTTGGGTTGGGGGAGGGGGGAGTCTGGTGAGTTGGTGGAGGAGGAGGAAGGAGGAAGGGGGGAAGGGTCGTCTGTTTTGCGTTCCCAGAATGAGCGGTAGAATTTTAGGAATTGCGTGACGATGGGGCCGGTGAGGGTGATGGCGCCTTCGAACCATTCTTCCCAGCTTATGTTGCAGCTGGGCAGGATTGCGGTTTTGCGGTCCACAATGATGAATTTGGGGTGCATGACGCTGAAGGGGAGAAGGAAGACGGATTTGATTTCCAGGTTTAGGCCGTGGAGTTCTGATGGGTCCGGGAGGCCGAGCTTCTTTACCCATGTTGACGGTGGGTACGTTTGGCCTGTGACGCCTTGGTGGTGGAAGAGCTTCTGAAATATGGAGCTAGAGGAAAAACAAAGTCGGACTCTGATCTTATGCGTTCCTCGTATAACGGCTTTGGTTGATAGTTTTCTTAGCACGCTGTTGAGAGTGTCCAAGCTGGATGATCGGGACCAGAAACAGGTTACGAGAATGAGCTCGTGGTCGGCTGCCTCGAGAAGGGGAGCAAGAGATTCATATATGGATGATCCGGTCCCGGTCATGAATGTGTCGATATTCGAGGTAGTGATGAGCGACCGGGGATACCGGGCATAGTAACTTGGATCGTCACTTGCATTGCTGGGCGCAGCAGCATCGAGTGCCGATATAAAGGGTTCATTGAAGTGAGATGCAGAGGGAGACGAGGCCGCTGGTGCCATGTCTATGCGTGAAGATAGAGGTTCTGGGAATGAGTCTGAATTTCTGATGCCATGACGTTGAGCTCGTCGCGACCGCCAATGCATGTCTGACGCGTCGGGTCTAGGCTGAATACGGGTACTGTCGCTGGTCAGTGCGTGCAACAGTTCATCAGTCAATGCAACACTTCACCAAAATGTGGGCCCATCAAAAAATGAAGCTGTATTACTGATTTAATATCTTGACTAATACAGGGATTGTTTAGGGTAGCTAGATACGGAATATTTCGGAAAAAAGGTGCAGTAGTCAACCTTGGAGCAAATTCAACCACGCTTCTTCGTCACTAAAGCTTCAAACTCGTTGTATGCTGCGAAAATCCCATCAATCGAGATGAATTAGTTCCGATGTTGAAGTTTGCTTCTGTAATTGGATATCCCTTTGGTCGTGAAGCTATAGATTACTACCAAAACGTTGTTATCGTGAGATCTCTTGGTGGAGTACACTCATGGCCGTACATTGGATTTCTATCTACTTCTATTCATTGGGCAACTGTACGTTACACCCGCATTTGAATACTTTGGTGGACATCTTGCCGTCCTGAAGCTTCAACAACTGGGCAACCTAGCTAGTACCAGAGGGCTTTCATTCTGCAAAAATCGGCACATAGTTTCTTACTATAAATCCAGAAGGTGGTAGTCCGCGCCCTAATTCCTTTTCTGCACTGATGTTTCACTAATTTAGTTTCTTGTGGTGGAGTACGTAATTGCCTTTGTCTCTGCGGTAGGTTGTAGGTGCAGTATGTGGTATGGGTATGTGGGACATATGTGACGGATTGTTTGGGGGGG